TTCTTGGGCTACTGGGTCTTCTGGTTTGTTTAAGATGTTTTGGAGAGCTTGAGTTGGTTTGTGTGCTACAGAGATGCCATGTGGTTATAATAGTCTGTTGGTAGCTTCTGAGATGTTTCCGATGTATGGCAGTGTCATCCTTTTTATAGCATGTGTTGGTTGTGTTGTAGTAGGTTGAGTGGTCAGGTACTTTTTGAAGAAGTTGCATGGATATCCATTTTGTTGGAAGATCAAGCAGTAAATAAGCTCAGAGAACCCCAAGGACTCCACAGTTCAACCCTGAGCTACAAATATTCTCTTCTATTTAGGAACTTTTACACACTTTCTCATGTATTAAGCAGAGAATAAAATTACACATGTTAAGCAATTGTTTAATGTAAAAATACCTGTGTCACATCTGCTCTGCTGATAGTCACTACCTATAAGTAACCTGTCTTTCACCATTCCCCTCTTCTCTTTTCTCCCACTCCAACAATATTGTGTATTGTGTAAAATATTGCATATTGTGTAAGATGTCGTGTAAAACTCTGCTCTTATCTGCAATTGATGAGACAGACTGTGATTCATGAAAGATTAAGTATTAATATAGATGTTAAGCCTTTGAGCTGCCACAAGCTTTTTTTTCCTTCCAATCTAGTAGCTGCAATGATAAATTATTAGTGGAAGACTAGAACTAGCTTAAGAGATTCCTACAGCTTTAAGCTAGTCTTTCCCAGTCCAGCGCCCTCTAGACGTAATAAAATACAACTTCCATTATCCACAGCCAGCATTTAATCATTTAAGAGCTCCGTGCTCTGATTACGATATACGCCTTATTTCAGAGCTAAAGGCGAGGTGAGGAAGAGGCAGCTAGAAACTCTTAAGCCCGATTCCCCAAGCAAATAAAATCGTGTCACAAAAACCTCGAGGGGGGGAGTTACCGAAGCGGCCCTTCCCCATTACGCCTACCAGTGAATCCATAACGACCTTCTTCAAGCCCGAGGCCTCAACCAAAAGCGCGCCGAAGCCTCAATTATTATCCCGTCCCTCTCGTTTGAAAACGTCAACGTATCCCGCGACGCAAGCGCATTATGGTGGAGATAGTTCATTGGTCAGACGTTCCGTACGTCACAAAAGGATTGGGGCGGATGAAGAACGGGAAATTAAGCAGTTTTTATATAGATCTATGGCGCAATATTCATCGGATTCATACAGAGAAGATCAATTTGCGAGTATACATTTGAGAAATATTTTGATCACCTAGCGGCAGAAATTGCCATGACTTTAAAAGATGAGAGAGACATCGTAGAGTTGCTAAGGTTGATGAGTTCTTTCCCCTTCCAGCAAAAGATGACAGAATTTTTTATGTTTTAGTTTTCAATAACTGACATTGTAATGCTAAACATTGTGAAGCGACAGGTTTCGCGTACATACTGGGAACTTAGCGGGTAGGGCCAAGTTTCGGCGTCCAACAGAGCTCTACATCTCAGACAAAACGAACGCCTGAGAAAGCTACTTGAACAGAAAGCCCCTGCTTGATACGTAGGCTTGGAATAAATCTTGAGAGATCGCTGCTAGCTTCCGCAACTTGCGGAGAAATAAAAGGTATTTTCAGGGCGCCTAACAAACGTATGTCATGGAAAGTAAGATCTATTTCTGTCGCTCAAATCCTGGACTTGTCATTTGTTGAGTGCTTGCTCAGCGACCAAGCCCTGCTTGCAAACAGGGCTAGACATTAGGCATTGAAAAAGTCGAAGATCCTGCTTCTGTCCTCGCTTTCTAAAAATATGCACCAGTTTTTCCCTCTCAGTGCTCCCTGTGTGCCGCCGTCCGCCCCTGGAGGAAGGGAAGAAGGTATTGAGGAGGAAGCTGGATCACTGAAGCTGAGCTGCTCCTCCTAGATCAGTGTTACATTTCATAGTCAAACCTTAGCATCTTTAAGGTGAGTGGACTTCAACTCCCATCATGGCTGGCTGGGGAATTCTGGGAGCTGAACTCCACTCAGCTTAAAGTTGCCAAGCTTGAGAAACACTGTCGTGGATTGACGATTTAGTCAGTCTATGAATCCGTGAGGAAGCTGGCCGACTGGCGCCCTTCCGAGCGCCTTCGCGAAGTCTTTGCAGCGGCTTGACTATGAAACGTAACCCTGGAAAAACATCGTTGGAGCCGGAGAAAGGCTGAAAATAGCAGCTGAATAGCGATCAAAGGGCTCGGCTAGGACGTGAAGGGGGGGGG